GCAATAGTAAACAGACCAGTAAATACATGAATCAAATTTTGAGAACCAAAATGATATGTATGCAACAATGCACCTAAAAGGCTTATGTATTTGTTGGACGACACTCGACGCGAAACAGCCAAGCCAATGTCGTTGGTTTCTAATGTCAGTCAAATATACAGCATCAACCATTCAGTAGCCATTTTTGTCAATAAACCGCATTCAATAGGTCATCATTATATACCAATGATAAAGACATACTTGTGAGAGATTCAGTGTAGATACGGCAGATTTTGGAGATATTAACCAACCATTTTTCCAGTTCATCGAGTTCATCAGCAAACAGACGAACAGAAGATCTAAAAAGCGGCGAGTCTTTAAGAGCGTGTTCAAATGAAATGTTCAGCGCTATTCCAGGTGCGTGAGTGACAGACTTGAGCGATGTTTCCAGCATGATGTGCGAATAGTGAAACCTACAGAATGCAACGTCGAAACCAAATTCCACAAAAACGACCATGAATTTACACGTGACCACAGTGGTGACAAACCGAATATCCGTTTGCTGCCAACAGCCAAAAAAGTATCCAAAAGTGCAAACATCAACAGGATTGGAAAGCCATTACCGGAATAACTGAGAGTTACTGATACAAGGGGAAGCAATAAAATACAAATATACACACACAATTATTGTTTGCCTGTCATGCTACAGAGGAAATCAACAAAAACTGCTGCGACTACCAACCATCAATCACCTCAATGCGAATCTACTCGCACGACAGCAAAACTGCAATTACCTGTTGCTTGCAGTTACACTGAGCCTGTATGGGATCTATTTGCATACATATCTGCCGAAACGTACTCTTTTCTGCTCTGTATTGTTGCTGATTTTCAACGACATTCTACTGACTCTGCCAGCGATTGCATCCACGATGACAAGATTGCTGCAATGCTGCGAGATATCGCCCGTATGTTACCCATCCAAACAGTTTTTTGCAAGATTTTAGAATCTTGGGCTGATTCTTGTGATTTTGTTGAAACCCCCGATTGCTCCCAACGGTCCAAAAGCTGCACGATTGCAGCAGAATGCAAGGATGCAGCCAACAAATCTTGGAAAAAGGGAATTCGCCAAAATGCACTTATTGGATGGTCTCAGGTAATTGTGTACAGCCATCCATTTAAAATCTAGTGGATAAACACCAATATATTGAATGCCTTGAATGTCAAGCTAATGATCATGCTGTAGGGACTTCGATTTGCTGGCACTCATCGTCATGATTGCTCTAAACCGGAGATAGCAGGGATCTTGTATGCCAACAGATCGCTTGTTTTTTTTAGTGCCAAACTCTACGAGCACGCCTATCTGGATATCCGTCGTGCACTCATGTGCGGCTACCCAACTGATTCTATGCACAAGCTGCTTCGACGTAAAGCACTTTGTATCAAGCATTTAGGCACACAGTCTGGTTATGAAGATGCAGAATTGGTTTTATACGAAGCATTGGATGCTAGCAGACGAGCTAAAAATATCGAGTTTCAGCAGACAATTATAAAAGATTTGCAGAATTTGGCACTACAAAGCGCATCTAAAAACGACTCGACAACAGCTGAAGTTTCCAGCAACTTTGTTTTGCTGCCATGCTCAACTGAAACCACTGCTATTAGCCAAACTCCGTCGACGGGAAAGCCTACAACGAAACAGGACTTTGAATCAACAACTCAGGACAAACAATCAAACGGAAACATGCGTTCAGCTGATGCTTGTTTGCTCCACAAAAACGAAACTGGAGAACTTGAAAGCTTAATGGACACGGCTACCAAAGAGATTTTGCCAAGCATTAAA